TCTAGTAGCAGGGTGATAATTTTTTTATTCCTTGTTTTGCTGAAAAAATACGCTCTACATTGGAGTATATATTTTGTAAAATTTGTAACTCTTTTTCAATTAAACTGAGGCTTTCTGTCAATGTCATTCGACCTTCTGATTGAACTGGATCTTAAGACTCAAGTTCTTGAATGTCTGCTCTTGCTTATGTATTTCTATGAGCTCCTCAATTGTTAGCTCTTGATTGTGGAAATCCAGCAGTTTTTGAACGTCATCACTATCCACTTCTAAATTTATTTGCCTGGTAAGATGAACAACTTCCTCAATCACATTACCAATTTCATCAGGCTCTGGCACTAATTCCACCTGAGTTTCAGTGATGAAAAAAAAAAGAAACAAGTAATATAAAATTTATTTTTGTAAGTCAATTCCTACTTAGGTCAACAAAGAAACATTTTATTTTAGCTACTTTTTATCAAACAGTTACAAAAAAAAAAAATTATGTATATGTATATGAGAGAATCACAATATTAAGTGACAAAATAGAAAGCAATTTTCCTTGCAATTTTCCATTTTCTATATGTGATGTTGGACTATTTTTTGTTACTATTTATTAATAAACTAAATTTAATTGTTCCAATAAAATAGTACAGTAAAAAAGAAAACACATTCTCATAAATTAGGCCATCACACGTGGAATTCGAACCCACGATTTCTGGATTAGAAGTCCAACGCGCTATCCATTGTACTACAAAGACTTTTCGTTTCGATATATGCTCTTGGACTATTTTTTTAAAAAATTTAATTAATGAATTAATATTTGAAAAAACTGTATTAACATCAAGTACATCCACTAGAAGTTTTAAAAAATGTATTTGAACTTGAATGGATGAATAGAAAGTATTTTATTAACGATTGAAAATTTGAACACACAAGATATGTATTGTAGTAAATATATATACTTAGGCAATTCGAAAAGTAATCTCCAAACCAGTTTAAAAAACAAACTAGGTTAAGGGGCGAAAAAAAATTTATTTACTTATCAAAGGTACTACTCTCCTCTATTTTTCAACACAGTCTCCCCCATTATTCAAGTACTTGTATCGTTTTACAAATTTACCAATTCCTTCTTTATAAAAAGTGGCCACCTGTGATTAAAACCAATGTGTCACAGCGTTTTTAAATTTCTCTTCTTAAGAGAAATGCTGTCCCCCTAGATACTTGTTCATTGCAGTGATTAGATGGTAATCAGCACTCACTGAAGACATTATTCCACTTTGTGATTCCTCGTGGGTGTTTGTTCTTCCGACCTTGAAAAACCGTATCCATTGACGCTCTGCATCTTCACTCAAAATGCTTGTCCCGTTTACGGCACACAAATCACGGTAGATATCCTCTGCTGACAGATTTTGTGGCCCAAAGAAATCTTATCACTCCTCGTACCTCACATTTCGTGGAATTTTCTATGACGGCACACATTTTGTCACGTTATAACTAACAAACTCTTGGTCCTACGACACTCTCAATCGCCACTGGAAGCTTACTGAATCAGAGATTGCTCGTGCATTCGATTGAGGGCGCTCCGAACCGTATGTCTAGCGCCACGCTCAAACGGCGGTTAGTTTTCAAATTGCTCTCGTATATATTACAAAAATATACAAAAATTAGTTATAAACCTAAGATAACTATAGGTTAATCAAAGGGTTACCTAAGATAACAGGTTTAAACAAAGTTTTTTGGCCAGCCAACCTTCACCTGAATGTGCCAATACTCTGGGTCATAAGGAAAGCAAGAAATTTCTAGAGAAGTTTAACTATTTTTTCAAATAAAAACATAATCTATTAATGTAAAATGATAATATTATAGCCTATATTAATTACTAAATTATTTTAAAATCAAAGTTAAAACTATTAGATAAAGACTTACCACGTGAGTACAGCAAAAAACATTTTCCCGGGCATTGGAAAGGCCAATAACAGTAACGCATAAAATTATTAAGTTTTGATGAAATAACATTAATACTATACATATACACATTTAAAAACTCTAAATTTTTTGCTTTAAAATTTATAGAAAATAAAAGTACCACCCAGACATATACAATTAATTTTATATATGATATATAATATTGTTAATTTACTTAGCTTGAGGCTCCATCTATCGATTAACTGTAAAACTAATAATATATTTTTTATTTAACTGTTAGGTAGCATTTTATAAAGTAAGGAGGATATCTATGTTCCATACAATGTTTAATAATGTTATTAAAATTTAAATATATATTAAATTTATCACTAACTAAAACGTTATTACAGTTCCTCAGTGATGCGAGTTCGGAAGCAGTGGACCCACGAGCACCGAACAACTCCAAAAACTGGCAGTGGACGACGGAAGTTGACGTCAGCGCGCGGATATCAACACCTGCTCCACACGGCGGTGAATAACCGTACAGCTTCCTCCAGGCAGTTAGCAGCACATTGGTCAATTGCTACAGGTGTATTAATGTCGGCTTCGTCAATTCGCCGGCGTCTGCTGCACCGTGGATTGTGTTCAGGATACCTTTATACAGGATCCCCCTCACGGCAAAGCATCGACAGCTGCGTCTGCAATGGGCTCATGAGCACGGAGCCTGGCAAGCTGATTGATGCCAAATTGTCTTTTCGGACGAATCACGCTTCAATTTGTGGAACCATGATGGCCGCATTCGTGTTAGACGCTATGCCGGTGAACGCTGCCTTCCAAATTGTGTTATCGAATGACATAGTGGCCTAACATCCGGAGTTATGGTTTGAAGTGCGAATTCGTATCATGGAAGATCTAATTTGCTACGAAATGAGGGAATAGTGCAATGCAATATGTGTTTCTTCGGCAATTACACGAATAAAACATAACGTAGACTAAACATATTAAATAAACTAAATAATTATGATACATTACAGCAAAATGACATACAGTCTTCATGGCAAATTAGAAACGCTCTTTCAAGTAATTAATAATATTTATTTTAAGTTACATTATTCTCATTAAATGATACAACTTACATGGGCTAAGAAACAACATGTTGTTTTGAATCTCGAGTTGAAACAGAAAAAGTAATTATCTCTCATTTAAAAAAAAATATTTTATCATTTGAATTTTATATAATTTTTCAATCATTAAAATCCAAGCAACACGTACTGCTTTTAAAGTACGCCCTTCTCCCTTAATTTTCCCCTTCAATCCTGAAAATACGTATCTTTCAATATTTTTTAAACATCCAATTCAGTATTTTTACTCAATCTATACATATAAAAATGGATGTTTGTATATATAAAATCGCTTCACTCCAACACCGTTCAACCGATCACTATGAAAATTGGCAAGCATATGTATTTTTTGTGGAAAAGGTTTTTGCGCTATCCTCTTTGTTGCAGCTCCCCTCCAGGTGGCGCTACAGCAAAACAACTTCTGCATCGTTCAATCAGTCACCAAGTTGCTAACGTGGTCGCCAAAAATGATGCCAACTTGACTCTATCGCCACCATTTCGCTATGTTTCCATTGAATCGCCATTATAATGTAAGGAACGGCGTTGCTTGCGAATATTATCATTTTAACATAAAATAAATACAACAGAAAATAGTATTAACGTTTTTCGCATCCAGATGTAAATTGTTTACACTATTGTAAGCGTTCATTACATAAAACTTGTAACAATGTGTTCCTTTTCCAGAGCAGAGATTAGCTTAGAAAGGTGTTTCCAAAAATCGACCCACAAAAGAGTTACGGGGCGTTATAAATAAAAATATTAAAAAAAACTTCTTTTTATCAGCTATAGGACCTTTAGACTTAAAATTTAACAAATAAGGGTTTTTTGTTCAGCTGTGATATGCAAAAAGCTTTTTTTTTTGTTGCTTAATTTGCAATTTACGTACAATTAACTCATTAAAAACTTCTTTATTCTCCAATCTGTATTGTTTAATTTTTCAATTCACCAGTACGAAGAACGGGTATACATGCTAGTATTACTTATAACAGTAGGAAACCATGTTATTATCAGAAACCACGTTTTAATTAAAAAGTAATAAAGGATGCAAGGATGCTGCAAGCACTAAAAGACACCTATTGGTGATGTTTTTCATTTTTCAAGTTTTAAATTGCCTCTTTTCGAGATTTATCACCAAAATTGAAGAATTTATATTCTTTATAGCGTCAAATAGTGTTAATTGGAATTTATTTCTTAAAGTAATTAAAAAAGAAGCCGCCCATCCGGTATAGTGGTTAGTGAGGCTGACTGAGGTTCCGTAGGGCCTCGGTTCGAATCTCGGAGAAGGCATGGATGTCTTATTGTAATCCTTCTTTCCTTTGTGAGAAGTGTGCTTCAAGCTTACTCTTATACAAGCCCCCGGGTGATATATTGTGGTGCACGGGGATTTCTAAATGTTCTCAATATAAGAAAAAAGTAGTAAAAACCGTATCACACAGCAACCACACCATTTTATCTTTCATAGAAGTGAAGAAAAAAATTTTAACTTCTATTCTACGTAAAATGTTCTATTTTCTTCGTTTATTTATTTATTTATTTTTTTGCAGTTTTACAAGATGGGTATCTTAAGAAATAATACAAGGTGTGACACAAAAAAAAAATGAGACTAAGTGTGCAGCTTGAAAAAGTGTAGAGTTGGCAACAACTGTTTTGATGATGTAATCCCCCATCCCTTCCTCTATCCATGTGGCAAGTTTCGCCTTTACCGATCACGCCAGTTGGGAGTAATACGTCATTGAGAAAACACGTGCAACTGTACTCTGCCGGAAAAATGTCGAATCAACATCAAATTTCTAGTGGAACTTAAGAAATCAGCACAAAAGCATTTAAAATATTTTTGTCGTGTGTTTCATAATGGGAATACAAACGAAAGACAGATGAACACAGAAACATACATTACAAACGATGATCCCAACATAGAACAGAAGGGGTGCGCTGCTTTCCATTCGAGACGGGAATCCATTTCAGGCGAAAGCCCGACTTCTTTTCCCGAAGATACATCTATATCGGGATTCGAACCCGATCTCACTCGATTACAAGTCCAGTGTCATAACCACCATACTAGGTGGGGCTACTATTTCAAATATTAACCTGCGCTTATGGAGATGAAACTTCGTCTCGTGTAAATGTATTTGAAGGGCATAAGCATTATTCAGGGGGAAGGGACAGTAAGATGATGAACGTGATGGGCGCCCAAGGTAAGCGATTGCAGACCAAAACATTGCCAAAATTCGTGAAATGATTGGGTTCCTACTCTCCTCAGGGGTCAGAATGTTATCAATACAATTACATTAAAGTAATAAAAAGACTTCGTGAAAAAATTAGGAAAAAAAGGTCAGGATTGGGGAGTGATGGATGTCTGATGCACAAAAACCAATACACCCGCTCCTATTTGTTGAGCAGTTTCTGACCAGCAAAAACATTATTGTGATTGGGCATCATCCTTATTCACCTGATTTGGCCTCAAGCGACTTTTTCTTGTTTCCTACAATTAAATCTTACTAAAAGAGAACCCATTTTACCTCAGTTGAAGAGGTTCAGGCAAAAATGGAGAATCTCTTGAAGGGCCTTCTAAAAATTTCGTTCCAGAACTGTTGCCAGCAATGGCAGCAGCGAATGCAGAAGTGTGTGAATGCTGAAGGGAACTACTTTGAAGGTGATAATGTCACGGAGAACTGATTCTGTACATATAATAATTTATTGGACCAGTCTCGTTTTTTTTTTGTCACACCTCGTATCCTACTTGCTAGAAATACAATATTATACTGGGTTTTAGTAAAACCACAGGAGAAGCATAACAATAACTTTATGATTAGTACTAAGGTACAAAAAAAGTTTGACAAACGACAAATCACAACCGTTTTTAGACACAGAATAATATCAATATAGTTTTTGTGAAGAGATCTGGTAACATACGCCTTGTTTTGTTGCCATTTTGCATTAGGTAGAGTTCTATCATTTAAAGCAGTGATCTCCAACCCAATGGTACCGGGCCGCCGAATGAATGAACTTTAAATTATTTTCATTTTATTTACTGTAGCGTATTTCTCTCGGGTTTGTGTCACTTTCCATGGAAATTACTTTATATTCCATGTTAAATCACTTTAGTTTCATTTTTTGTTGAAACTGTGATTTATTTAAAAGACATATTTAAATACAATTAAATCAAAACTACTAAGTCAAAACAATTTAAAATATAAACAATCAATGCGCCTTTTCCCTCAGAGAGTCGTGGTAAAATTATAAAACGCTGACCAGTCCGAGGCGATAAAAAGGTTGGAAAGCATTGATTTAAAGTATACAAATGTTTATAACCACCACTGAAACCTACATTTAACTAAAGGTAGCACAAAAGCTTCATCATCTTGGGGACGTACACTGGTGTCCAAAAGTTAAGTATAATTGATAATTATGCGAATAAAGAAGGAACTGTAACTCAGAATGGCGGGAAACGTGATATGCGAGTGTAAAATGGTTATAAAATAAGGAAGCAAATCAAAAGAATGATAATAATTAATTTTATTATCCAAAGTAGCAGTTTGAAAGAAAACTGAGCATAGCAAGGATTCACACTTTAAAGAAAAAATGAAAGAAAACATTAAATAAAATACTGATGCTGCAGTTTAATAAGGCGTATGGTCACCTCTGACAGCCAGGCACGCTGTACAGCGATTTACTATACTTGCTATGAGATGATGAATGAGTTGTGGGCTCAAACGGTTCCAAGCTTCTTGGGGAGCTCTCTTCAGTTCTGTAACGGAGCTTGGTGGGTGCGAAAGGGCTGCAATTTGTCTCCCGAGCATATCCCATACATGCTCGATAGGATTTAAATCAGGGGAGTTCGCAGGCCTCGACATGCGCTGGATGTTTTCCGTTTCAAGGAAATCATCAATTATCACCGCTCGGTGACATGGCGCATTATCATCCATGAATATGAAGTCAGGACCGTAAGCACCTCGAAACAAGCGAACATAAGGCTCAAGAACTTCGTCTCTGTGTCTTTGAGCAGTCACAGACCCCGTGTCAAAGAAATTGAGGTCTGTGAGGCCGTCCATCCTGATGCCTGTCCATACCATTACTCCCCTTGATGGAAAATGATGTCTTTCCGTTGTGTTTCTTGGTTCAAAACGTGTTACACGTTCTTTCTATATCGTTACCCGCCGAGAATCACTACTCAGACTAAACCGGGACTCGTCACTGAACATCACAATGGCCCACTCTCCCACACTCCAATGTTGATGTTTCAAACTCCAGTTCAAACGAGCGCGTTTATGCGCAGACGTGAAGGGAATGCAAACCGCTGGTCGTCTGGCATACAGGCCAGCATGATTGAGTCTCCTGTAAACAGTTTGTCTCGAAATTCGTATTCCTGTGGCGACTGGGAGCGCCGAACCCAGTGAGTGCTCTGGCAGTACTGCCCCCGGACGTCACGCACTTATTACCAGATATCGGTCTTGGCGAGGGGTTATGACTCTTGGTCGACCTGATACTGGTTGTCGAGTAACATCTCCTGTTCTTTGAAACCTCTGCCACAGTCTTGAGATCGCAGACTGGTCCACATTCAGAATTCGAGACACTTCGGTTTGTGATCGTGAGGATTCCAGCATTCCAACGATTCTTCCTTTCGTAAACATGTCTAATTGGCGTCTTTGTGCCATCATTCACCTTGTTTGATGGTTAACAACGTTCCTTCGCACAGCAGTTGCACGAAACTCGTCTGAACTGCCTATGCTGCGTGAATCGGTTTCTCCGCGTTCCGACATGCGACGGTGTTTCGCGCAGGACGTAGTCGACTGAAAAGTTTTGCATAAACCCAATGTTTCTTCTTCACCCAATTAATATCCGCAAGAAATTTGGAATAATTTTACGAATATTTACCCATGTTTTTCGCATTTTACGATTTATGCTTAACTTTTGGACACCAGTGTACTTGTAGACTCGAGAAAATAACAAAACGTGATGAGAGAAAATTGAAGAGGATTATAAAGAAAAATAGGGAAAGCGGAAGATATCAACAACTGTACAAATTACAAAGGAGTTTGATTTAAACTCTGAAACAAAGATCTCTCACAGAATTAACACATGAACTTAAATTTCTTGGTCTTGAAAGTCGACGACCGTCACGAAAATCCTATTTATCAACTTTAAATCGAAATATTCGTTATGCTTGGACAAAAGAATACAAAATTTGGGATGTAGAAACGTGAAAGAAAGTTGTATGAAACGGGATGAGAGCCGTTTTATACTTTTTACAAATGATGGCAGACAAAGAATTCGTCGAGAATAACATGAAACTTTTCATGCAGATTGTATACAACCAGCCGTGTAGGATGGAAGTAAAGCATGCTGGGGGGCATTTTCTTGGAATACAATCGATCCCCTTAGCATTATAAGGGGTAACATAACTGGAGCCGAGAACTTATCTGATCGACAAAATGTTGTTAAACCATTAATGGAATTTTGTTTTCGAGATGGTGACGAAATGTATCAGGACGATAATGCTACTCCCAATCCCGCCTAAATTATACAGACCTGGTTTAACCACAACCATGGTCTATTTCACCACATCTGAAATGGCCATCAAAATGTTCAGATATTAGTGTAATCGAAAATCTGTAGGATGAACTGAAAAGGAATATAAGAGAGTTGAATACCCTTCCAACAAATGTCAAAGAACTAGAAATATTACTTCATACAGCATGGTTCGAAATTAAGAGAAATGTCAGAAGCTTATTACATCAGTACCACGACGAGTTAAAGCTCTATACAAAGCAAAAGGTGGAAGCATCAAATATTAAGTGAAGTGACAAGTCATTTGGCCAGTATGTTTAAAATGTGATGTTTTTTCCCCGCCGAATTGATTTATTTGTAGTGAAACACGTTTTACAGATTAACTCTTGTACTTCGTTTTTGTGTTGTTGTTGTTACTAATGCCACCTGTCTGACATATCAGATCTAGGCCCACGAAATTCATCATGGCATCGGGCTATATTGTACGCCTGTCGTTAGCCTAAGCTTTGAGCCCCCATGAAGGTGACAGTCCGTTTTTGCTCACACAACACGATAGATGGCGGCACTATTCGGACCCACAGATTTAACGAGCACGTTCTCCGTTTTTATACTCGGTGAGTATTTGGTGGCATCGGGCATCGAACCCAGGCCTTTCGGTCTGGAGTCCAATGCTCTAACCACTAGGCTACCCACGGCAGACTTCGTTTTTGTACCTCTATCAAGCGACAAGGCTGAAAACCCTCTTTACATATTTAGAAAACGATATACTATTATGTGTAAAGTAATCCAACAATGGTTACATTTTAAGACTAAATTGACACGAATATGCTTTTATAGTAGTTTTTTCCTAAATGGATTAATTTATTTTCGCAGCAATTCAAACGCAGTAGCGTACACAGAATTCTTTTATGGGGAAGAGCTACTTTTCTTTAAAAAAAAAACACATAGACGAAAGCGCAATCTTCAAAGTAAAAGTTAAAAATCTGTTAGTCTATGGGGCAAGAAGGGATTGAGCCCTATATAAACCCGAGTACATTATATTTTTTTAAAGAAATCATTTTTTCAAGAATTGGTAACACAGGCAATAACATTACGTAATAACACTGTTACGAATTTTGTGTAAAATGGAGTAAATAATTTGTATTTGAAAATGTAATGCCTTTACTCTGTTGTGTTTATTTTATGTTAAAATTGTAATATTCGCAGGCTACATCGTCCCTTACGTTATAGTGGCAATTCAATGGGAAGTTGGCGAAATCTTGGCGATAGAGCCAAGTTGGTATCATTTTTGGAGAGTTCGGGACCCTCTGGAAATTTTGTGGAGAAATCCACTAATTTCAAATCTATGACGCAAGCGGATCTTTCTCGAAAGATCTGCGAGGCTATAAATAGAGATGCTCGTCTAAAGTCAGTCAGTCTTGTTTCAACCAGCGATTAGTGAGTTTTTTGTTTTGACTAGCGATTAGTAACTTGCCTTGACCGTGATTACCGATTAGCTCGGCTATGCTTGTGAATAATCTTTTACTTACGTGTATCTTAGACACTGATAATTGTGA